AGTAATAACTTAATAAAAGCAGTGAGCCGATAAGAAAACTTCCTGGAATTGCAGCACATACAGACGCTTTACTTGGAGAAGGTCTCAGTATTACAGCTGCATTTAAGCTGGTTACACAGTCAGTAATGTGAATGTCAGATATTAAATGAAGGTATTCAAGATTAACAACACGGTGGTCTTAACAGCTGATTACTCACAAAGCCTACGAAATCAGTTATTGTCAGACTGTGAGCAGCAGTGTAAAACATCTGATTTAACTTACTGTAAAATTTTATTTTAGTTCATATTCTAATATTTCTGTCTGGCAGCATCTTTTTCAGTATTTGGAATTTGTGGTTGTTTTATCTTTCAAGAGTCAGCATGATGAGTGCGTTGAGCTCTCAGGGCCACCGTACTGTTCTCTTTTCAAGTTATTATCCTCAGATTTCATAGAGTCATAATTGTACTAGCTTTTAATATGATATATGGTGAACCACTCCATATACTCATCCTGACTGCCAGCCTCACATTTCCTACTGCTGCTCTTTCACAATAAAAGCAAATAAACAATCCGTTTTATTCTGGAAACAGTTACAGGAAGCAATGTGTTTGTTGCAGAAGATGGATGATTTGTCCTTTTGGCCTCTCAGTTAGAGAATATCAGGTAATTGATATAACTCATGAATCGTTATATTAATTGCACAATGTAAAGAAACATTGCTTTGACACTGAACTCTTACCTAATGTCTTTTCTGCTGTGTCGTCAACAAATCGGCTGAAAAGTCTTAAGAAGGTCATGAGCGTCAGTGTGAAGGAACACTGGATGAAAACTCAACTGCTGATGCTAAAATGAAACTCCGTGCTACATTGCTGTTTTGTTTCTGGGTCCTGTGCCACAGTTCAAGTATCTCTGCCTTGAATCAAGACTTCCTTCTGTCATCTGTCTTGCTCTTGCTGAACCACCTCCCCGGTCAGCGTGATGGTGTGTAGGTCCGGGTATGTCTGCTGCTGCTGCCCGCTGCCCCTCTGAGCCTCAGCCTGTGTCAGCGGGTGCACCATGGACATGTGCACGTTCAGGTTGTGGGCCTTCTCGAAACGCTTGCTGCACATCAAGCACTCAAACTCCAGGTCGGCCTCGGCTTTGTGTTTGGTCATGTGGTATTTCAGTGATGCTCGCTGGCGACACTGGAAGCCACAAACCTCACATCTGATAGGAGGAAAAAACAAAAGCATTTATCATTTCTCCTGTCTGGGGTTCTGGCTTTTAAACTGGGAAACATGGGTTTCATTCCTCTCGCTCTCTCAAAAAAGTGAATTTCTGTTTGTCCTCTTATCAGTTCACTTATGGAATTCCTCAGGGCTCAGTTCTTGTGCCACTATTTTTCTCTATTTTATTTTGACTTTTGAAAGTCTCGTTTCAAAGATTTATTTCCAATAACAGAAGACGACTTTGGTCTCTAGGCTCCGAGCTCATCACTTTCCATATAAAATTGTAGTGACTAAACATTTGAAATACTGTAAAAGCAGTTCCAGAAAAACGATGATGAGGCCCGTTTTCTGATATCAGTCAAAAAGGGCATTTACTGATCTCGTTGTTCTATCGATGTTTTCCAAATCCCTGAATTTGAGGGGGAGAAATAAATAGGCTGAAACTTTGACTTGGCTATCAAACTCTTGATCCCAGTATGACCGTCTGTCAGCAGGATGCACCGGAGCAAGATGATCTCCCAACTTGGAGGATCATACAGATACATAAATCTATGTGCATACATTTGATGGTATATATGACTTGTTCAGGTGAAAGCATATTCTGTGGTTCTGTGATGAAAACAGGAAGCAATTAAAGGTTTGTAAAATCAATCTGAAGCCACCAAAAGAGCTTGACGGCTCATGAGCTACAAAAATGTTAAAGGACTTACTGTAGTGGCTTGGCCCCCGAATGCCTCATCTGGTGAACTGATAGGTGTTTTCTTTGTTTGAAGGTTTGACCGCACTGGTCACAAATGTAATTCCTCTCCTCTGGAAGCACACAGACACGACGAGCATGAGCCACAAATTCAGACATTAAAGTAAGGTAAAAAAAATCTTTATAAACATTAATTTATGCAATGCTAACAATAAATGCTTAGAAATGGAAATGACTGATTTAGTAACATCAGTACTGCGTTCCACGTGTCTGAGGAAAGTTTTAGATTCGTGTATCATTCTTCAGAAACAGCCTAAATGTGAAAAGCATGCATAAAAACAGCTATAAAGAATTATTTCTCACTCAAAGCTGGATGACTAAAGCTGGAAAGCCAGAAAGTCAGTCAAACCTGACATCTCACCTGTGTGGATGAGCTTGACATGCCGCTGCAGGTAGCGGTCGATCATGAAAACCTTGTTGCAGCCAGGGTGAGGGCACGGTCGCTCCCTCACCTCCTCGTGATGTTCCTTGATGTGTTTCTAAAAAGTCAGCAAACAGGAACACAATCAGTCGTATATACAGATGAAGGCAGAGCACGTTTGCTCTCATTCATTTTAACTGCCTTCAGTCAAGGACAATTCATTTTAAATGGAAATAACTCATTATTAATCTTTAATCTCTGATACTATTACCAATCTGCAACAATCAATCTCATCTGTTTTTATTTCATTCATACATATTAAATTCATTTCACTTTATAGTTAGCAGTAAACAGACCTCTGACAGCGCTATGTTCAGGAATTGTTTCACCTTGCTGAAAACAGTTGAACAATATTTAATAAAGAAGCATTTCTCCAGTCACCTGAGACCGCTATCCCAAATTTTTAAAGAAAAGCAAGCCAAGATTATTCATACAGGAGATCAAAACTAGTGCACGGAAACATGCACAACTGAAGGTGGCTTCATTTAACAGTGAGCAGTGAATATTGACCTTGAGACCATCGGGAGCTCTGTAGACAGCCGTACAACCCTGATATGGACACTTGTAGATGTTGGGGAGCTCCTCCCTTTGAAAAAGAAACACACAGATTGTTAATCTGCCTTTCTTCAAAAAAAAAAAAAACTGAAGCAAAGAATGAACTACACCCAAGCTGAAAATGACCTTAATGGAAGCTGCATCACGTACCCCTTAGGTTTGAACTTATTCTTCCAGCCTGGCTTGGGTCCGGGCTTCTTTCTGATTTTGGGCTCCTCTGGGGCCTTTGAGCTTTTTCTTCTCTTATTTGGGACGTTGACCCTGTGGGCTCTAGAAGGATAAGGGGAAAATAAATTCAGCGAGAGCTTATGAGAGAAAGACATGGAACATATTCTGTAACTACAAAGGTGGTCACTGTCCCATCCAAAGAGCAAATTAACAGCTCAACCAGGAAACATGAGCCTGTTGCCCTGATGTATGTGCACAGCTGAGGTTCATTATAGAGCAGCTGTGTGGTAGCAGGCACAGGCTTCTCATTTTTACTGTAATAAAGGTTTTTTCTTTCTTTTACCCTTTATTGTCAGAGTGTAACTGTGACTGTGGCCAGTCAGCAAACCTTTTAAAGACTTGTGATTCTTTACATGCTGCTTGTATATCAATGGAGACCCAAACTTAGAGGCTTCATAATAACAGCCTGCACAGCTGCTGACTGGCAAGACTTAACACTAAACTAATCAAATCTACATCGGCCGTTATCGTGTTACATTCACAGGCTGATCTACACTAAAGGCCCCGTAGACCGGTGATAACAGATAGTGAGATAAGGCGGTGTTTCCACTCCCTTTACTTCACCATAGCAGGCCCGTCTTTTCTATTTGCACCCACCTCTTCTCCGAGTATGGCTCAAACTCCTCATCAGACAGCCCTCCTTTTCTACCCTCATCAAACTCATCTTCAGAGATGACCCTGGACACACACAAACACAAAATTTGAAAAATTTCGATTTCTAATAATTGCCAAACCACCAGTAAATATGAACTGTGGGACCAACCTGTCAGAAAGATCACTGCCAGCAGTTCTGTCCTCCAGCTGACCCGGAGCAGGAGACAAGGCCTCCTCGTGACCTGTGTAATCTGAAGGAGAGAGGAGGAGAAAATGTTAATATGAGCAATGATGAGGTCTTAACACGGGTTTCAGTATGTGCAGAAGAAGAAAAAGTATTTTCTATATTTCAGCTGGAATGTCTGTGCACATCAGTCTCGAGTCTCCAAAAATGAATACACATCTTTAATATTTTATCTTCCTGGAAACACTCATTCTCATTTCTTCAAAATGAACTGATATTCAGACACGCTGATGTGAGTCAATCATATATTTTTATTTGATGAAAATAAAAAATATGAACATTTAAGTGCAGATGGTCTGCAAGATCTTCAACAGCATCCCGAGGGAGACTGGGGACACCGAGTCCAAATGCGCCTCGAGGCAACTGTTGGTATGATTTGGTGCTATATGAATAAAATAAAATTGAATTGAATGAACCATGTTCGGCACGTCTATTGCTGAAGCCGTTGCACTTAGCTGCGGCTGCAAGGTGGTTGGTGCCTGTTGTGGTGGTAATCCCCCAACCAAATGGTGGACACCAGAGGTGAAGGGAGCCATGAGGCTGAAGAAGGAGTCCTATCAGGCTTGGTTAGCCTGTGGGACATGTACCGACAGGCCAAGCGGAACACAGCTCGAGCAGTGGATGAAGGAAAAATTTGAGTGTGGGAGGAGTTCAGCGAGGCCATGGAAAAAAGACTTTTTGGACTGCCTCGAAGAGATTATGGTGAACAGTCAGGCGACTCAGGAGGGGAAAGTGGTGCTCTACCTGCTGAGAATATTGTCGAGTGCTGGAAGGAATACTTCTAGAACCTCCTTAATCCCACCGGCATGTCTTCCATGGAGGAAGCAGAGTCTTGGGACAAGGGGGACGACTCACCTATCTCCAAGGGCGAGGTCACTGAGGGAGTTAAAAAAAACTCCTGACCAGGCTGGTGGCGCCCAGTTTTAAGAAGGGGGACCGGAGGTTGTGTTCCAACTATAGGGGGATCATACTCCTCAGCCTCTTGGTGAATAGAGAGCTGAATGTAAAAACGAAGCTCGATCTACGTCCCTACCCTCACCTATGGCCACGAGCTGTGGGTAGTGACCGAAAGAATGAGATTGCGGATACAAGCAGCAGAAATGAGCTTCCTCCGAAGGGTGGCTGGCCTCTCCCTTAGAGATAGGGTGAGAAGTTCGGCCATCCGGGAGGGGCTCAGAGTAGAGCAGCTGCTGCTCTCACATCGAAAGGAGGTGGCTGCCCATCACTGAGCACAGTGATTATCTGATTGTTGGGGTTTTATCTCTGATCTTGTGCGAGTCTTTTATTGCACAACATAAAACATCTTGAAAGAACTGAAGAGGGCTGATACACCGGTAGTCTCAGTGTTAGTCTGAACGACTGTAAGCATTCCCACCTTCGTTGTCGCCCGTCCAGTCATCAGGCACTGAGCTCTGCGTCTGAGCCGTTGCTGCAGGTGGACTGCGCTGAACCACAGTACTAGTACTTCTCGATGAGGTCATTCCGTTTTCAAATTTTGTGTTTGTGTGTGTCCAGGGTCATCTCTGAAGATGAGTTTGATGAGGGTAGAAAAGGAGGGCTGTCTGATGAGGAGTTTGAGCCATACTCGGAGAAGAGGTGGGTGCAAATAGAAAAGACGGGCCTGCTATGGTGAAGTAAAGGGAGTGGAAACACCGCCTTATCTCACTATCTGTTATCACCGGTCTACGGGGCCTTTAGTGTAGATCAGCCTGTGAATGTAACACGATAACGGCCGATGTAGATTTGATTAGTTTAGTGTTAAGTCTTGCCAGTCAGCAGCTGTGCAGGCTGTTATTATGAAGCCTCTAAGTTTGGGTCTCCATTGATATACAAGCAGCATGTAAAGAATCACAAGTCTTTAAAAGGTTTGCTGACTGGCCACAGTCACAGTTACACTCTGACAATAAAGGGTAAAAGAAAGAAAAAACCTTTATTACAGTAAAAATGAGAAGCCTGTGCCTGCTACCACACAGCTGCTCTATAATGAACCTCAGCTGTGCACATACATCAGGGCAACAGGCTCATGTTTCCTGGTTGAGCTGTTAATTTGCTCTTTGGAGGCAGGGATGGGACAGTGACCACCTTTGCAGTTACAGAATATGTTCCATGTCTTTCTCTCATAAGCTCTCGCTGAATTTATTTTCCCCTTATCCTTCTAGAGCCCACAGGGTCAACGTCCCAAACAAGAGAAGAAAAAGCTCAAAGGCCCCAGAGGAGCCCAAAATCAGAAAGAAGCCTGGACCCAAGCCAGGCTGGAAGAATAAGTTCAAACCTAAGGGGTACGTGATGCAGCTTCCATTAAGGTCATTTTCAGCTTGGGTGTAGTTTATTCTTTGCTTCAGGTTTTTTTTTTTTTAGAAGAAATGCAGATTAACAATCTGTGTTTCTTTTTCAAAGGGAGGAGCTCCCCAACATCTACAAGTGTCCATATCAGGGTTGTACGGCTGTCTACAGAGCTCCCGATGGTCTCAAGGTCAGAATTCACTGCTCACTGTTAAATGAAGCCACCTTCAGTTGTGCATGTTTCCGTGCACTAGTTTTGAGTTATGAATAATCTTGGCTTGCTTTTCTTTAAAAATTTGGGATAGCGGTCTCAGGTGACTGGGGAAATGTTTCTTTATTAAATATTGTTTAACTGTTTTCAGCAAGGTGAAACAATTCCTGAACATAGCGCTGTCAGAGGTCTGTTTACTGCTAACTATAAAGTGTCTTGAAATGAATTTAATATGTATGAATGAAATAAAAACAGATGAGACTGATTGTTGCAGATTGGTAATAGTATCAGAGATTAACATTCTCTAATGTTAAAACAACAAAAAAGAATAATAATGAGTTATTTCCATTTAAAATGAATTGTCCTTGACTGAAAGCAGTTAAAATGAATGAGAGCAAACGTGCTCTGCCTTCATCTGTATATACGACTGATTGTGTTCCTGTTTGCTGACTTTTTAGAAACACATCAAGGAACATCACGAGGAGGTGAGGGAGCGACCGTGCCCTCACCCTGGCTGCAACAAGGTTTTCATGATCGACCGCTACCTGCAGCGGCATGTCAAGCTCATCCACACAGGTGAGATGTCAGGTTTGACTGACTTTCTGGCTTTCCAGCTTTAGTCATCCAGCTTTGAGTGAGAAATAATTCTTTATAGCTGTTTTTATGCATGCTTTTCACATTTAGGCTGTTTCTGAAGAATGATACACGAATCTAAAACTTTCCTCAGACACGTGGAACGCAGTACTGATGTTACTAAATCAGTCATTTCCATTTCTAAGCATTTATTGTTAGCATTGCATAAATTAATGTTTATAAAGATTTTTTTTACCTTACTTTAATGTCTGAATTTGTGGCTCATGCTCGTCGTGTCTGTGTGCTTCCAGAGGAGAGGAATTACATTTGTGACCAGTGCGGTCAAACCTTCAAACAAAGAAAACACCTATCAGTTCACCAGATGAGGCATTCGGGGGCCAAGCCACTACAGTAAGTCCTTTAACATTTTTGTAGCTCATGAGCCGTCAAGCTCTTTTGGTGGCTTCAGATTGATTTTACAAACCTTTAATTGCTTCCTGTTTTCATCACAGAACCACAGAATATGCTTTCACCTGAACAAGTCATATATACCATCAAATGTATGCACATAGATTTATGTATCTGTATGATCCTCCAAGTTGGGAGATCATCTTGCTCCGGTGCATCCTGCTGACAGACGGTCATACTGGGATCAAGAGTTTGATAGCCAAGTCAAAGTTTCAGCCTATTTATTTCTCCCCCTCAAATTCAGGGATTTGGAAAACATCGATAGAACAACGAGATCAGTAAATGCCCTTTTTGACTGATATCAGAAAACGGGCCTCATCATCGTTTTTCTGGAACTGTATTTTACAGTATTTCAAATGTTTAGTCACTACAATTTTATATGGAAAGTGATGAGCTCGGAGCCTAGAGACCAAAGTCGTCTTCTGTTATTGGAAATAAATCTTTGAAACGAGACTTTCAAAAGTCAAAATAAAATAGAGAAAAATAGTGGCACAAGAACTGAGCCCTGAGGAATTCCATAAGTGAACTGATAAGAGGACAAACAGAAATTCACTTTTTTGAGAGAGCGAGAGGAATGAAACCCATGTTTCCCAGTTTAAAAGCCAGAACCCCAGACAGGAGAAATGATAAATGCTTTTGTTTTTTCCTCCTGTCAGATGTGAGGTTTGTGGCTTCCAGTGTCGCCAGCGAGCATCACTGAAATACCACATGACCAAACACAAAGCCGAGGCCGACCTGGAGTTTGAGTGCTTGATGTGCAGCAAGCGTTTCGAGAAGGCCCACAACCTGAACGTGCACATGTCCATGGTGCACCCACTGACACAGGCTGAGGCTCAGAGGGGCAGCGGGCAGCAGCAGCAGACATACCCGGACCTACACACCATCACGCTGACCGGGGAGGTGGTTCAGCAAGAGCAAGACAGATGACAGAAGGAAGTCTTGATTCAAGGCAGAGATACTTGAACTGTGGCACAGGACCCAGAAACAAAACAGCAATGTAGCACGGAGTTTCATTTTAGCATCAGCAGTTGAGTTTTCATCCAGTGTTCCTTCACACTGACGCTCATGACCTTCTTAAGACTTTTCAGCCGATTTGTTGACGACACAGCAGAAAAGACATTAGGTAAGAGTTCAGTGTCAAAGCAATGTTTCTTTACATTGTGCAATTAATATAACGATTCATGAGTTATATCAATTACCTGATATTCTCTAACTGAGAGGCCAAAAGGACAAATCATCCATCTTCTGCAACAAACACATTGCTTCCTGTAACTGTTTCCAGAATAAAACGGATTGTTTATTTGCTTTTATTGTGAAAGAGCAGCAGTAGGAAATGTGAGGCTGGCAGTCAGGATGAGTATATGGAGTGGTTCACCATATATCATATTAAAAGCTAGTACAATTATGACTCTGTGAAATCTGAGGATAATAACTTGAAAAGAGAACAGTACGGTGGCCCTGAGAGCTCAACGCACTCATCATGCTGACTCTTGAAAGATAAAACAACCAAAAATTCCAAATACTGAAAAAGATGCTGCCAAGTAGACCAGACAGAAATATTAGAATATGAACTAAAATAAAATTTTACAGTAAGTTAAATCAGATGTTTTACACTGCTGCTCACAGTCTGACAATAACTGATTT